TTTAAAGAAAATAATTTCTTTTAGAGGTTTGAATCTAATATTAAGATGTTGATTAAGATCTGAATACTAAATAGTTAAGCCTGTTTGTTTTCTCAACATCTGAATGTGTAAAATTAATTTTCTTTGAACAAAATTAATATATATATATATATATATATATATATTTTAAAATACTAAATTGATCTAATATTATATTAATAAAATATTTAAATTTTTTATATTGCAATTGGTGGTGGTGGTGATGGTGACTAACGAATTGTGATTTGTGTTTCGATTAGGAATGGTGTTGACTATTGATGATTGTTGTGGCTAGTATCTTATGGTATATGAGTTGACATTAGTGATCAACCGTAGTTATTGGTTGCAACAACTGATAATTAGTAGTGAAGTGATATTGATAGCTAATGGCGGTGGTGAATAATGATGACAATTATTGATATATAATGTTGACTAATTGTAACGATATGATCTATCGCTATTCAAAAGGCATTTCACGTCAATTATGAAAATTCTTGAAATACGTTGTCAATTTAAAAATTAGGTGACACGACAAAAATCTTAAAATTTGAAATTTGATCCAAGCTGACGTCATCCCGCCACGAGAATATTTCCGTTATGGCGGCAGGTTAGCTGCTATTGCGGGGTAAGCGGGACAAAATCTCATAAATGTGAATTCTTTTAATCTCCCTTCTCCTTTCTAGTGGTAAAAAATAGGCGAGGGTTATACTAAAAAACCTCTGAGAGTTGCTTCAAGTTTGTGAACAATGACAATGAGGGATTCTAGCGCAAGGTGGGTTAAGCCCATAGATTTTTGGTCTATGTCCGTTAGAATTCGCCCTCAGGGAGCCAACAGCTCGTGTTCGGAGTTCTTCATCAGTTGCTTGACATCTAGGTAGGTTAGGCATCCTTAATTGAGTAGTTAAAATTGTATTTACTTACATCATATCTTGTAGATTGTCATAGATTGCATGCAGACCTTTGGGTGTCAAGATGGTTGAACATGGAGGTATTAGTTGTGGCGTAGGCTGATGATGAGCTTGATTAGTCAATGTTGGCCTTGCAATGATTGAAGGGTGTTATCTTGGAGAAAGTGGGTAATCGGGTTCTTAGTGGAAACTGTCTAGAGAGAGTCGTTCGAGAGTAAGTGATGATTGTTATTTTCAAGTTTATGTATGTATGCAAACTGTATTTATAGTGAATCTTGTACAATGCATGTTGGGAAAAGCATAAGAGTTGAATGTGATACGATAAATTGTTGACAACCTCATGCAAATGAAAGTGTTTTGTTTATTTGTATTTACAAGTGTGGTTGTATTTCTTCGTGATTGTGATTGTGCCTGTGTGACTAATGGTTGACTCAAATACCACGCCTGGTATGTTCTAACAGTTGACTCGATACCACACTTGGTACGAGATATCTCTATGATTGACTTGAGTACCACGCCGATACAAATTAATAAAGATTGACTCTGATCACTACTAAAAAATAGTGAATACCGACCTAAAAAATTCCGACCTCTGGAGGTTGGAAAATGAGGTCGGTATTTTCCAACCTCCGGAGGTCGGTATTTACAAGTAGTCGGTTTTTATGCAAAATAAAGTGGGAAAACCAAATTCCGACCTCTGGAGGTCGGACTTTTTCCCGGAAAAAATGATTACAATAAAAACCGACCTCTTGATGT